AAAAAAAAAAAAAAGCCTTTCTTCAAAGGAGCCACCAAAAGCTTTTTACTGATTAGAGTGGGCCTCCCCGTTTAGGCCACATAGTTAAGATTTTCCTGTATTTCACATGAAGCTGGAGCTCAGGTTGCAGCAAGGTAACCCTTGATGGCTGGATTTTTTTCTGAAGAATGCTTGGACTTAGCAAGGTTGGAGATACAGCCAGGTGCTTTACCAAAACGGCTTTGTCTAAAAAAGAGATACTTGATTTTAGTGGCTTAGAAGTACAAATTAACTCTTGGTCTTTGTACCCTTCTCTCCATCCCTTTAATCTTTTGTTAGGGATTCACTCATGTTTCGTGTGTAAGGAGAGCAAGACAGATGTTAAACGCTGTGTGGTGACTCAGTGTGGAAAATTCTACCATGAAGCTTGTGTGAAAAAATACCCTCTGACTGTGTTTGAGAGTCGAGGCTTTCGCTGCCCCCTCCACAGCTGTGTGAGCTGCCATGCTTCAAACCCTTCAAACCCAAGACCATCGAAAGGTATAGGTGCACATTTATAGCTTTGATATTGGTTAAATTCTGTCACACGGGTGCTTTGGAGATCAAAGTGACAGTTTTCACATTTGCCACTACATATCATTAACTCCAGTTCCTCGAGTGACTCCTGTGTTTCCATTACTTGACACAGGTTGGGTTAGGGTTTTTCTTTGACAAAGGACCTGCCCTCCTGCTTTCTCCCTTCATTCCATCCTAAAGATCATCTTAAAGATTCTTGATTTTAGATATGGACATGATCTTTGGATCATTTTGATATATTCTCTGCCCCAGTTTTAATGACCCTTCATATGGAAAATCACTTCTAGTTGCACATACACTGAAATTGGAATGATACAGAAAAGAGTTGCGTGGCTCCTATATAAGGGTGACATGCAAATTGTGAAATGTTCCACTTTTTTCCCTAATGTACACAGCACAAAGTAAAGAAAAATGTTGGAGATGCTGGATATATTTAGTGCCTTGATTTGTTCATTATACATTGCATGTGGATTTTGAAAAACCACCCTGTACCCCACAAAGTTGTACAACGATTACATATACATTAGAAAGTACAATAAAAATTAAAATCTTACTAGGAGAAAAAAACAAAACCCATCTGAAATCAAATTACATCTGCATTATTTAACATTAAGTGTGTAGGATTAAGGATAGCAGGTTGCATGTACTTCTTTTTTTTTTTTTTTTTTTTTTTTTTTGTTGTTTTTTTTTATTGCGCGGCTG